GGGGGGACACCACCCTCCTCTCCCACCCAGGTCTGAGTAGTGCATGCCAGGTCAGCACCCTCATCCAGAATTACATCATAGATGAGGGCAGTCTTATTTTGTACTGACCTGGCGTTCATCAGCAGCACCGTGTGGCTCGAGGGTTTGCTGATATGGTCACCTGATACCACCTGGTTGGGGGTAGGACTAGAAGAGGGGATAGATATAAGATATCTAACCTTTCTTCTATGTGGGCATGTTCTACCCCCACCGCCATTCCTTCCCTTACCCAAAAAGTACACAGTACTTTTAAAGCACTCTTTTTTAAAAAATGGCTGCTGTAATACCATTGAGAAATAAAGGTGAACAAGAGAGGGAACTGGGACAAAATGTCCAAATACATGGGAAGCCTATCAACTGATTTATGATCTTATACACTGCTACACACTGCAGCTCAGGATATGGGAGAAATGCAGTTCAGAGATTATAGTAGGCAGTAATCCTACCTCATCTTGTCTTTCTTGTAAGGCTATTTCTTCAGACATTATCTCCCGGAGTGATACTTTCTGTGTCTGGACATTCCAGTGATCCATGAAAGGAAAGAAGTCTGAAGCAACTGAATTTTGAGTCAGTTCATGCACTGGTTCAGTCCTTTGTACCTGACTACTTGTATGATGAGAAAGGTCCATGTCCAGCTCATCTAGCTGTAACTGCTCAAACAGCATGGGATCTTCATAGAAAACAAAAATGCTAAGTGAGTAAGTATCTCTTAGAGGGACAGTTTAGTGAAATAAGAGCCAAACGAAATTCAAGTATATTCTTTTTTAAAAAGTTCACCTGTCATTAAGAAACTGCACCACGTGCAGTGGGAGAGAAAAAGCATATAGGGGATGAGCATCAGGGTGGGGAGAAATAGAACATCAAGGAAGGATGGGTGGGAGGGAGTCAGAGTTTTCTCAGTTGTATAAAGCTAGAAACCTCTGCTAATGATTAATAAATGTCTAATTTACTGTGAAAGAGTTCAGTGCTCACTAATGTCATAATCTGCCAATTCTCCAAACAAAACAAAAACAGGCATGTTCCCCCTCCTCTCTTTGAAGGTACTGAAACTGAGGAACAGCCACTTGTACAGCATGATTAAATTGCTCCAGAACTGGTGCCTTCACCATGGTGCCCATGGCACCAATGTGCCCTAGAGACTGAAGTGATGCCTACTTTCTTTCAGAATCAGAGTGCAATAAAAATAATTTTTAAACTTTTTAAATGGTTTTCCTAATATATACTGTTCCTCTGCTTCACACACCTACTTCTATTCTGGCCCTTGAAGAAACACTTCAGCTGCGCCTGGCCTAAACCACTGCATTAGCGTTCTGAAGGGAAAAAGACAGGTAACACAGAATTATGGCCGGTAGAAAAAGAGGTAGATGGGGTTTAAAGGGGAAAAGCAGATAGGTGTCTATGTGGGCACAGCAGAAAATAGGAGAGATGGTGTCCAGTGGATGCAAATTGAATGGCAAAGGTCATGGGAGAAAGGGCAGAAAAAGGGGCATGTAAAAAAAAAAACAGGGCAAATAGTGCAGTGGTGCCCTGCATGACGATGATAAGCCATTCCATAGAAATAGCTGTCTTGTGAAAATATCATCTTGCGAAAATTGTTTCCCCATTAGAATGCACTGAAACCCGTTTAATGCGTTCCAATGGAGAAAAATGGTCGTCGTTTTGCAAAGATTGCCCATAGGGAAGCCATTTTGCGAAGCACCAATCAGCTGTTAAAATGGCTGTCCTGTGAAGCATCGGTCCGGAAAACACCCATTTTGCGAAGCGCCGATCAGTGCCAAAATAGTTTGCGAGGCACGGACCCAAACATCATCCAGCAAAAACCGCCCATTGGAAACAGTTTTGTGAATCGCTGTAGCGATCACAAAACCTCATTGTCATGCGGATTTGTCATTTTGCGAGGTCGTCATCTAGTGGGGCACCACTGTACCTGGAGTTGTGGAATAATGTACTGGCATATATGTTTTTTCTGCCCCCTGTCAAATGAGTTGGGGATTCCTATCATTCCTCTAATTTATAATCAGTACCTTGGGGAAACTACTTATCTCGAAACCGCATCAGTTTATGTCTGTGAAATGAGTATTTTACGATGGTCCGTGTCTACCACAACAGTCATTTTGTGATGGTGCACATCCCTTTAGTATACTGTTCTTTTCTGATACAATGCACTTTAAAAAAAGCAATATAGTAGTATATCTCTACTTAAAAAAACAATGTTTTCTGCAAAATATAAAAAAACAAAGCCAAAGTACGGGTGGAGGGAGAGAAAGAAATTAGTCTTGGTGAAATGACTGTAGTGCAAGGTCAAAAGCAAAACCTGCTTGTCCTGAAGCTTAATGTGTGGCTTGAGAAAAGTCCTTGTCTGTCAGAATAATTTACTTTCCAGGGTGGTTTTAAGAAAAACATGACAGAACCCCACCTACCACAACCTGAGTTTGTTAAGGGTGTGAAGGAGCAGATAAAAAGAGTGTGCCGTCCGTAATGGACAAAATGGAGGAAAAGAGAAAAGAAGGGGAACATCAACCATTTGCCTTTCAAGTAATTGCATGAGAATTGATGCAAGTTTTTACCAGGCTGGGATTTCCAAAGGAAATTCTGATGGATCAAGGGAGTAATTTTATGAGTTTGACGTTAAAAGAGATGTGGAAACTCCTACATGTGCAACCCATTCATACCACCGTCTATCATCCTCAGACCAACGGGCTAGTGGAGTGGTTTAACAAAACCCTTAAAGGGATGCTAAGGAAACTAGTAGTAGAAAAACCTAGAAGATGGCGCCGCTTATGTTTGCAATAAGAGAGGTACCACAGGTGTCCACGGGATTCTCTCCTTTTGAGATGATGTATGGGTGGAATCCTAGAGGAATATTAGACTTGATTAAAGAGAAGTGGGAAAGCGGGGAGGACACCTCCCACTTAGCTGTACAACATGTGCTTGAGATAAGAGAACATTTGAAGAAAGTAGCAGAGATTGCTAAAGAGCACTTAGGGAAAGTGCAAGCCAGGCAGGAGAAGAGATACGACGAAAAAATATCCCTTAGGCATTTTAAACCAGGTCAGAAAGTTCTACTGCTACTACCTGCAGAGAATGCCAAATTGTTTGCACGATGGCAAGGCCCATATGAAGTGGTTAGGCAAATAGGGAAAATAGACTGTGAAATCAAGACTCCAGACAAGAAACAGAGAACAGGGATTTACCATGTGAATTTACTAAAAGAGTGGAATGAGAGGGAAGTGTTGTTGGGGGAAGTAGGTGAGGAAGATTACGGACCCGAAACCTCAGAGTGCAAGGTAGGAAATACGGAAACTACCCTAGGAGAGAATTTGACTGTGAGGCAGGTTGCCCAAATAAGAAGCTTAGAGAAGGAATTCCGAGATGTTTTCTTACCTAAACCAGGTAGCACTAATATGGTGGAGCATCACATAGATACCGATATAGGTGTTGTGGTACGTAGTGGAGGGAGGAGCTGGCCATTCCACTTAAAGGAAGTAATCAATAAAGAAGTGGACGATATGGTAAATTTAGGAGTAATCGAACCATCACAAAGTCCATGGAGGAGTTAACCAGTGGTAGTTCCTAAACCAGATGGTAAGGTCCGATTATGTATAGATTTTCGAAAGGTGAACGAATTTTCTAAATTTGATTCATACCCTATGGCGAAAATTGAAGATTTGCTTGAAAGGCTAATGGGCACCAGTTACTTAACCTCTTTACACCTTTCTGATATGTAGCCACTGGTAGCAAGGATGAAAGGCTAATGGGTGCCAGTTACTTAACCTCTCTAGACCTTACTAAAGGCTATTGGCAAATTCCTTTAGAGCAGAAGACAAAGACGGCTTTCATTACCCCTAAAGGGTTGTACCATTTCCGGAGAATGCTGTTTGGGTGGCATGGGGCAGGTGTGACCTTTCAACATTTAATGGATAAAGTGTTAGAACCCGTGAGAGGATTTGCAGGTGCTTACACAGACAACATCCTTATATTCAGTAAAAAGTTGGGACGATCATTTGAAACACATAGCGCAAGTACTAAGAGAACTCAGAAAGGCCGGATTAACTGTTAATCCAGTCAAGTGCAAAATTGCGCATGAAAGGGTCCGGTTTCTGGGTCACGTGGTGAGTAAAGGAGAAATACAACCCATAGCAGAGAAGGTAGAGAAGTTAATGGATTGGCATATCCCAAAAACAAAGAAGGAAGTACAAGTTTTTGGGATTGGCAGGTATTATAGACAGTTCATACCAAATTTTGCAGAAATAGTAGCCCCTCTCACCAACCTCACCAAGAAGAAAATGTCTAGATTAGTTAAGTGGGGGACGTTGGAGCAGGTGGCCTTTGATAAATTGAAGGCAATCCTTAATGAACTTCCCAAAAGATATGCTCCTGATTTTTCACTCCCTTTTATAGTATAGACCGATGCGTCTAATAGGGGAATTGGGGCTGTGCTGGCGCAAGAAAGAGAAGGAGTCGGATATCCCATCATGTATGTGAGCAAGAAATTGACTCCCAGGGAGCAGAAATATGCTACCATAGAGAAGGAGGCTCTAGCGGCTAAATGGGCAATTCAAACATTGAAGTACTATTTATTGGAGGCCCCTTTTACACTGATGACAGATCATGCCCCGTTGCAATGGTTGAATAGGATGAAGGATTCAAACCCTAGGTTAACACGTTGGTATCTAAGTCTACAACCATTTGCCTTTCAAGTAAAATACAAAAAGGGGTTAAACCATGCTAATGCTGACTATTTTTCGCGACAGGGTGAAGGGGAAGAATCTACTGGTGAAGAGCGGACGGTTCACTCCTCCGGGGTGTGAGTGTGAAGGAGCAGATAAAAAGAGTGTGCCGTCCGTAATGGACAAAATGGAGGAAAAGAGATAAGAAGGGGAACATAAGGATGTGGCAGGGGGTGAAGAAGGAACAGAGGGAGACGTGACAGTTGGAGAAAAGGCGGGAAAGTTGGAAATCTGTCTGGCAGAGGGGGAGTGGGAGGAGCAAGTCAGTGTGGGAAGAGGATAAAAGCGAGGTGGGTGTGGTTTGGTTTAGCACTGTGGTGGAGTATGAACGTAAGAAGAGGGAGGAGAGATGGAAGGCGTTCGAGAGAGTCTGTCAACAAGGACTCTTAAGGGACTTCCCAAATCTAAAGAGAGGAGGACTCCTCCCTAACCCTGAGCCGGAAGAAGAGAAGCCACGCCGTTTGGTGGCACATGAATGGACAGTCATTGTGGCTCCGAGACGCCAAGCTATGCCATGAGTGGGAGAAGAGTGCAGCTCCTTTCCCTGAGGGAACGGACGAGAGTGGGTGGGTGAGGCACTCATGTTGTGGGACGATCTGTGTGATGAGGAGTGCCCCACCCCCGTGATTGGAGGACAAGGAGCTACATGGGATGTTACGCCGATATGTCCATGGGACTATAGTAAAAGTTTTATTGATGTTGATAATGGCCTGTTGCCGAAGTTGGAACTGACGTTACCTCCAAGTGAAGTGCTGGTGGATGTGGGAGACAATAAAGTTGACAGTTCAAAAGGTATAAAGACTAAACCTCTTTTATTTCCCGCCAAAAATGAGAGGCCGCCTGAGGGAGGCAGCGGACCTCTTCCCAAAAGGTAAGTGGATATAAATATGATTCTTCTGTACATACAACTGTAATCAAAATTATTCAACTCCCATTGCAAATCAGGTTTATTGTCAAAATTAGAGGTGGGGGTATTCGTATATGAATATCCCCCCACAGGTGTAGGCAATGAGGGTCCGGCCCCCTGGGGCCAGACCGACCACTCACTATTCTGCTGGTGCCGCAGGCTCCGCACTCCCTATCGCTCCAGAGCTCACGACGGATTAGCCGTTCTTCAACCTGGCAGAGAGGTTCATCATCCCACCTTGTGCCAGGAGTGGCTAATCCACCACGAGCTCTGGAGTGATAGGAAGAGAGTGTGGAGCCCGCAGCAGTGGGGGAATGGTGAGTCATCAGTCTAGCCCAGGGGGTCAGTCCCTTATTATCTTCACCTGTGAGGGGATATTCGTATTCATATACGAATACCCTCATCTCCAGTCAAAATTTATAGACTTCCAGATATTTGCAATGAACAAATCAAACAAAGGCAATGGAAATAACTCAGCACAACAAATGCTTCAAATGGTTTCCCCATATTCACCTGAAAATGCAACTTTTAGTGAATTCTGCAATCTCAAAATTATTCAAACCCTTCATGGCAAGCATCGTTAGTACTTAGTACAGCATCCTTTTGCTGTTATGACCTGTTGCAAATGAGATGCGTAGCCAGACACCAGCTTCTGGTGGTGTTCCTGAGGAATCTTAGCTCATTCCTCATGACCAATGGCCTCCAATTCAGTAATATTCTTGGGTTTGCATGCTACAATCACTTTAAATCCCACCAGAGATTTTCTACAACCATACTCACCTTCTTCAAGGAGCCTGTGTAACTCCTCTTCTCTCTTCTGGCGCTTCTAAATCAAAACAATTTTATATTAATGAGCCACACATTTAAGTATGCTTTATTGAACCTCAACATAAACTTCCATTTATGAAAAGATTAATATTATTGCTTTATAAATCTGAACAGATTGAGAACAGATAAACAATGGCAACTGAATTTCATTTTCAAAAAAAAAAAAGTTCTTGGTGAAAAAAAATGCTGCCACTGACTAGATGCTTCAGTTAAAGGAAATGCTTGGGGCGCCAAATACTGCTGAACTGTAATACCCACCATTTCTCACCACTGATTATCCTGGCTCAGACAGATGCAGGGTTGCCACTGAAATTTTATTTCCCTGGCTTTCCCTAACCAATATAACCACAAGTTAAAAAATGAATAGGTCGTATGGGCTAAACCACAGAAGCCTGTGCTGCAGGGTCAGAAGACCAGCAGTTGTAAGATCGAATCCATGTGATGGAGAGCTCCCATCACTTTGTCCCAGCTCCTCGCCAACCTAGCAGTTCAAAAGCATGCAAATATGAGTAGAGAAATAGGTACCACCTCGGTGGGAAGGTAAAACGGCGTTCCCTAGTCACACTGGCCACGTGGCAACGGACACTGTCTTCAGAGAAGTGCTGGCTCTACAGTTTGAAAACGGGATGAGCACCTCCCCCTAGAGTCAGACACAACTGGACTAAAAATGTCAAGGGGAACCTTTACCTTTTTACATTAATGCAAGTATTAATGAAATGTTCCACTCTACAATTACACAAGTCTCAACAATATTTGTCAAGATAAGAGATTTAATATTAGCTTCTTTCAACATTAACTGCAGCAACATCTGTTTTGCAAGTGCACCAAAAATTGCACCAAGATTCAAACTTCAATTCAAGTAAACTCTGAAAGCTAACAAATGACATAACATTTTTGTTATTGTTTTAAACGTACACTAAAAATTATATAAGTGTTCTATCTAAAATGGTTTCTCTGAAGCCACATTACAAAATGTATAGGTTTGAAACTGCAGTAATAATCAAATTTTTAAAAAATAGAGATTTAAGATATAAAACTATCACTTCTACAGTTTTCTCTTTTTATTTTGTAACTCTTAGTTTCTCATAAATTGTTTCCTCTTTCATTTTGGCTTCTTCTCTCAGTCTTTTTTTTAGCATTTTCAAAATGCTAAAACATTGACAGACAGCAGTTTCTTCATGCAAGTTCTCAATTAACATTGACATTAACTGAAAATCCACTTTCAACAGAAGCATTATGATGAAACAGGATAAGGCACATTTTGACAATAGCTTGAGAAACTTTAGTTGGACATCAAAATACCACTGCAAAACATATCCAGTCCAACTCCATCATTTTGTTTTGCAACATATGCTTGAAAGTGAGCCTTGAACTCATTGTGGGCAGCTATGGTTAGTGTACTGTCGCTTTGATTTTTCCATTACTGTGTCATTGATCTGATTTGCTGCAAAAACAACCCCTATTCTGGTGATTCCAAGATCTGGCTTGCATAAAATGATAGTAGGATCTAGAGATGGGGGTATTCGTATTCAAATACGAATACCCCACACAGAATACGTCCACTGCTGCCACCAGCTATGCACTCCCTTCCAATCACTCCAGAGCTCATGGTCGACTAGCTACTCGTCAGCCTGGCAGGGAGGCTCATCTTCCCTCCTTCTGCCAGAAGTGGCTAATCAACCACGAGTTCTGGAGCGATTGAAAGGGAGCGTGAAGCCAGCTGCAGCAGTGGATGGGTGAGTGAATGGTCCGTTATGTCTACCTGTCCACCCATCTCTAGTAGGATCTAATGCTGATAGGCCACACACCATCCTGAACTTCAAAGGACTACTCTCAATCAACTTTTCAACAACAGCTACTACCATGTTTCAACTCTCTAGGCAAAATGCAGCCACTTGATGTTCACTCGGTTTAGTTTATTTCAGCAGCTTCTTTGCTGCAAAGCCAATGTCAACATTGCTTCTGTCAAGCAAATTCTCAGACAATTTCATATCAATTGTTAACAACTGGGAACAACAAGACAAATTTTGCAGCTTTTCTGATTTTATGCATTGACTCGTTAGCTTCTTGATTAGCTTGCAAAGTTCTTCATGCACAAAAAGATGCCAATAGTTTTTGGTTTTGAAGTCATAGCAGTGTATGATGCCCTCCTAGCTGGGGAGTCTTTGAGCAGATAATACATGTTGCGCTAGACTGAATTCAGGCCCCATTTCACTGCTTGCAATCCTGTTTTAAAAGGCCCAGGTACAACATGAAGGGTATGTACAAGTTACAAAGTCAACTGATTCTTTTTCTTCTCCTTTACATTCAAGGTTGGTTTTAATTTCTTCTTTCAGTTTTCTTAGAAAAAGGTGATTTAGATTTAGCCCATCCATAGATGCTTGTAATAATTTTGCAACTCATAAAGAAGACATGCCTTCTTGAAGAAGGTCTTCAGCAGTAGCAGTTTGAAGAAAAACACTGGTTAGATACCATGTGGAAACTCATCCCAAAAATAAACCACTAAATCCATCTGTCCTTTTTGAACCACCTTATTCAAAGCTTCATCAAAACAGATAACAAATGTCTGCCATTCTTTCATCTGCTTCAGTAAAAAATCAGAGAAATATGGTGCCAAGCCAAAAGCAACAGCATACATTGCTTTTGTTTTTCCAAGATGAAACTGTTGAGCTATCAGGCTATCTGAGAACATTCACTTGAATAACTTACTGATGCTGTTACAAGAGTTTATTTTTATTTATTTATTTATTTAATTTATATGCCGCCCACACTACCCAAAGGTCTCTTAAGTTAAGTAACATCTTCTTCATCACCACTCACAAAGCTCACAGGTATTCTGCTGTTCTAACACAGACCTAGTTTGTGCGAAGGGTAATTCTTTGCCATTTTCATCACTCTGATCAAGTTTTCCAGTTTTCGTAGAGGCTGTCTCTTCATCCTCTCTGGTTTTACTATCTGAACTTGTACTTGGCTTTGAACCTCAACATATTGCGATGGGACTGTTGACTTGATTTAATTTTCAGGGTCTTCTAATGTACTGGTCCTCGTGCATGAGACTCCACAGTTTTAATTCCCATATTATCTAGTTCAAAGGTTTTATAGCACACTTTACAATAATCTTTGCATTTGTCTCCAGCAACTGGTGCTAACCACGGAACAAAGTCAGGATGAAGTCTGAAATGCAGCCACTGCATATTAAAAACTGTCCTCTTAGAAGACACCTTCAAAATGTGGTTTCAGATACAGCCATACACAGAACCACCTGCCTGACACCAAGATGTTAGCAGATTTGTTTTCTAAAAGGTAGGAACTTTCCAAAGCTGGGAAAGTTTCACTTTCATTTTCTGGTTCCAGAAAGTGTAATGAGCAGATCAGCAGCAAGAAAGGAGATGGAGTTTAAAGCAGAGAAGCAGACAACCCTCATTTGCAACCCTCATGCATGGGAGAAGGCATGGAAGAGAGTGCGAGAGCTGGTACTCTGTAAACTCCAACAAGCAATCACATTTTAAAAATTTACTTTGCATGGTGCAGAGTAGAAAGTGTGAAATCCAACAGCAGCAAAACTCATTTGCAACTCTGTGCTGGGTTTAGCAGGAGACAAAACGTCCATTCCATACACAAGCATCACCCAAAAACATGTTTATTTTTATATGTAAGTTAAATGCAGTACTAGCAGGTAGGGATGAAAACAGTTAGATGTTTAAAGTTTGTATCTTGCTAAATGTTTAAGCTAGCCTTGCTCTGCAAATGCTACAGGCAGGTCTTGGAAATCATGCAGGGACAGAGCTCAACAAACACATTAGGCTGGTTGCTAGGGGTGGAGCTGAGAAACAAGTGGAGCTAGGAAAGGGCATCATTAAGTTTTACTTGTATTCTGCTACTTCTCTATTCCAGTTGCCACAAGAACTGATCATGCACTTGTAGCAGTAGGTCAAAAATCCACTGCTTGAATATACAGTGGTGCCTCGCTTAACGGGTGCCTTGTTTAACGACGAAATCGCATAGCGATGAAGATTTTGCAATCACAAAAGCGATCGCATTGTGATGTTTTAATTGGGGAAAAATCGCTTCGCGATGACTGGTATCCTGTTTCGCTTACCGATCATCGCAAAGCGATGACTTTTTAACAGCTGATCCGCGGTTCCAAAATGGCCGCCGGGTAAAAAAAAATGGCTGCCCGCTGTTTTCTGGGATGGATTCCTTGCTTACCGGGCAGCAAAAATGGCCGCCATATGGAGGATTTTCGCTTTAAGGTGAGTCTGAAGCCCAGAGGAACACATTGAAGGGGTTTCAATGCATTCCTATGGGCTTTTTAATATCGCATAGCGATGAAGTAGCTTTGCAGCAATTTTTGCTGCACCGATTACCGTCTCTATGCAAGACTCCACTGTATTTTAATCACAATTTCCCTGACTTTTCCTGACTTCGGAACAATTTCCCTGACCAATTTCCATTTCCTGACTTCCCCTGACTTTCCAGAAAGTGGCAACCCTCTGATGGGAGTTATAGTTTGATAATATCTGGAAGGCCATGTATTCCTTGTTTCAATATATGAAGGAATATAGTCTTACCATTATTATCATAATTGTCCCATCATATACACCGAAACTGGTAAATTGGTTACTTACCATGAAGACCCATTTTGGTCTGCATGGAAGAAGACATCCAGTAGTTTCATTTATTCTTCTCTGCTTCCCACGCGAGGCATGGTTAATTCTCCATAGATAAAATTGGCTTATACTGCACAGGCTTGGCTACTCTCCCCAATCTTTACATAGCTAGCTCAGAAAAGGAAAAAAGGTGAATCAGAAAGAAAGGGAAAAATGTATCAGCATGAATGAGGTGGTGCACCAGCAAACTCTAATATGCAGAAAGTCACTGTAGGGTGAGTGTGGATATTTTCCTCCACAGGAAGTAAGTAACCAATGAACTACTCACAGTTTGTCAGAAGGAGCAGTTCAGTGATCTGGGAATTATTCAACTTCTACGCTAACCAGATGGTATCTGGCTGGATAGCTCAGTGGTTTAGGTATCTGGATGCAGAGTTAGAGGTAGAGAGTTTAATTCCCCACTGCACTTCCTGTCAGTAGAGCCAGCCTGTGTGGCTTTGGGCAAGCTGCACAGTCCCAGGGTTTGTAATGATAAGCCATTTCTGAGCATTCACTACCTGGAAAACCCTGAAAAAGTTTGCCATAAGTCAGAATTGACTTGATGGCACATAAGGTGCTGTGATGGCTTTTTTGCTCAGCCCAGTTGTTCCCAACCGTGGGTAACCCAGGTATTCTTAGACTCCAACTCCCTTTCACCACTAGCTGGTGAAGGCTGAATGAGCCTCGTGGTGCAGTGGTTAAACTGCAATATTGCAGCCAAAGGTTGCTCATGACCCAGGTTCAATCCCAGGTAGCTGGCTCAAGGTTGACTCAGCCTTCTATCCTTCCAAGGTTGGCAAAATTGAGTACACAGCTGTCTGGAGGGAGGGGCTATGTTTAGCCTGCAGAATTAAGTTGTAAACTGCCCAGATAATGTTTTAAGTGCTATGGGGTAGTATATAAACAGTACTCTTCACTTTTTGTTTCAGCTATGCTGGTCAGGGTTCCTGGGAGCTGCAGTCCAAGAACACCTGGATTACCCAAGATTCGGAACCACTGGCTGAGCATGCAGCTAAATCTGAACAGGTAGAAGCATCTGCATTCCAGTGTTTAAACCAGAGTGCCTCAACACTGTAAAATCAGCAACAGACCTAGTCATGTGAGGTAAGGGAATCCTGAGTAACATCTGTAACACAGACATAGGACTTACTCAATTTGGTTAATGTTTTCTGTGAGGGTTTAGCATCCAAATTAGGATTATTAATAGTATCCTTAATTCAAAACACAGATTCTAGCTATCACAGAAGCAGTGGAGGAAACCTCTCAAGACAGCTTCATGTTTTTTATGCAGAGCTCAAAGTGACCTTTCAAAATTTTTGATCTTTAAACGGAGCACTGCTTTACCTGGGACCTAGTGCTCCAGACAATAAGGCTGAGACTACACCAGTCTTAGAACTTTTTAAAAAATCCACTGTAGCTAGATACGAAACACAAAACGTCTGAGCTGAAACACCACTCTTCTTACCTGGCACGAGACAGTAAGATATATAGCAAGAAAATGAAGAGATAGGTAAGCAAAAAGACAAGAAAATGTTATTAAGGTTGCAGAGGCAAAGAGCTAAAAACACCTGACCTGAGCCAACACAGGGAAAGATTTGGGGGAGGAACCAAGTCTGTGCAGTACAGGGTAATTTTATCTGCTAGACAGATAACACTGCTATGCCTGGGAGGCAGAGGGGAATAACCTGAACTGTTGGATGGTTCCTTCTTGCCTATCAAGAATTATTAGTTTCCACCATCCCAATTAAACTTACACAACTGCACTTTTGTTCAAGCAGACTTTGACTACCCCCATACCATCTTCCCGCAACTCTTTCTCAGGAGTTTGAACTTTACATTAAATCTCGTTTAATCTTTTAATACAGCCTCTGCAATTATATAACTTAAGTTCCTTGGCCAATGCCTTCTCCAAATGGTTCCAAAACACATATTATCTATCTGCTTCTTGAAAACAGAAAACTGTTTTATAGAGCAAATTTTTACTGCTTTATTGCTCTTTAGCACTGGTCTCTTAGTAGGTTTGTAATTATGTTGCTTATATATTTTAAACTTCTGAAGCAGATATGATGCAAATGTAATCATGCTATTCATCTACCTGTCCTTTAGATCCGGAGTCCCCAATCCCCAGTCCACAGCCCGGTACCGGGCCATGGCCTTGGCGGGATTGGGCCGCGGAGACATATCTCCCACCCCACCCCTGCACATACGCCCTCCATGCATGCACGCGTGCCCTGCCAATGCATACCTGCACAGGAGCCCTGCCCCCACACAGGACACCCTTCCGCCCCCCCCACCCCAACCAGTCCATGGTTTGGAAAAAGTTGGGGACCACTGCTTTAGATGATGGAACATATAAAATGACACCAGCAAATATTGAGATACTGCTGCAGTTAAATGAATCTGACTAACCATGATAGATGCTTTCCACTTCTCATGAATTTCTCTGGCCAAATTCAAGTCAATATGAACCACATAATCTTCAGTAGTTAGGGATCCTTATGGAAGGAAAAACACATTGAAATAATGTGTTATGCAAATGAAAATAAAATGTTATACAAATAATTCAGCTATGCTTGCCTTTCATCAAGCCATGTATCATATTTAATACTGTATTTTTCTAAGATACAGAAATAGGTCTGGTTCTACACTTCTTTTTTTCATTTTACAGTGTGTTGCATTTAATTACATTGTTTAATCTCTTATGCATCTTGCCCATTATAGCTGCATTTTTATAGTTTACATTAATAGATTCTTTAAATTAAAAAATGAACACCAGCTGAAGTTCTATCCTAACAGAAGCAACAAGGAACTGTTGTGATCATCTGTAAACAAAACTCCCTAAAATAATTCAGAAGATCTTTCCAAAATACACAGACACAACAGAACTTTGATGCCTTGCTTAATTCATGACCCAAATCTACAATATATTATATAGAAAAGATAGATTAACTCTAAATAATTTTGATTTTTTTAGTTATATGGAAGTGAATCCCAGCCACTTCTCCCAGTTTCACTGAAGAATCCAAAATGGGGCGATGGAGATGAAGCAATGAACTGGAATGACTAGCTTAGTCCTACAGAGCCAAAGTAACCCACGTGGTTTTTTTCAGTTCTTAACTCAAATCTAAGTATGCAAGTCAAGTCAATATTTTCCTATGAGAGTGGTTCTTAAGTCAAAATGTTCTTAACTCGGGCCGTTCTTAAGTCAAGACCCCACTGTAGAGGGGATACATCAAATAGGGAGGGAAAAGCCTAACTCTCACTCAGAACACTGTCTTCAACAGAAGCAGATTTTACTTTAATCATATCCCCAAACACAAACTTCTATTTTATTTAGGCCCAATATAAATGAACTCATATGGGGAAAATATAATAATGCACTGAGAGACACTGCAGTTGGAACAACAGACACCTGCTAACACCAAAACAAGCTTGCACAGTCTCCATCAATAAGAGCCAAGGATATATATGCCGCCATTTTTTTCCTAATTTAGAACAATTATTACTTCCAGCAACTAAAGTCTCCTAACTTGATGCATTATCTACACAATCATCATGTTTCATAATTTATGTTACATGCATTTTAAAAACTATATTTCTTGGTGCAATTACCTGAATCAACACCAACAGGTCCAAATATTTCACTTAACTGAATGGCTAGTTCTGGAGGTAAGGCTAGTTCAAGGCAATCTATGTTCACAGAATTTGATGAAGTTGTTGGGGTCTGTAACCTCATGATACCATAATTTTCATTAGGTATCTTGTTCTCTCCATTTTCTGCTGCCTTTGGAAACTGTGGCTTACAATCCATTTCTCCACACTCAACAAGTGTGCCTCCCTTGCTCTGCAAATCCTCTATTGATTTTAGATCAGGCAATATATCCTGAAAAGCTGTATCTTCTGTTGTTGAACACGCTTGAGGATTTTTTGATGATCTGTTGTCTGTTACCGTATGAATGATAGGTTTCAAAGCAAAGGGTCCTCCATTAAAATCATCAGGTACTGTCACAGGGCCACATCCATCCATCTCAGAATGTGAAACCTTGTTTTGCTGCTCATTTTGCTGCTCATTTTCTGACAATGTAGCAGAATGCATCTCTTTTGTATGTATTGTCATAGTATCCAAGGGAGACTGCTGAACAACTGATTCTTCTAAATCAGCTCCTTCAAGAGGATGATTGGAATTTTTGTTTACTGGTGAGGAACCAAGCAAAACACTTGTCAGCAAGTTGGCTATTTCAGTGTTTACATCAGAAGTATCGGAAGTTTTATTAGATGCATCATCAATTAAGATATTAAATATTTCTGAATCTTGATTAATTCTAGAAATCACTGCCTCTTGGGAATCACGTTTCTCTACATAGCCAGTATTTTCCTTGGAATCAACAGCTGTGTCAGGAGTTTGAGCCTCTGCTTTCTGCAAGCATTCAGTGTTATCTTTTTTGCACAACTTTTCATCAGAATCTAGTAATATCCCAGTAGTCCAATCAATGTCCCTGTTACATCTCTCATATAAATCCTTTAGTGCATCAAATGAGAGGGATCCAAAGAGTTTACACAAAATATTTAGATTTTCAGACTCATCAATGCTGACAAGTTCACTTTCTTCCACATATGTGCTTTTCTCGTAAGTTACTTTATAAGGTATTTTTTCAGGACAACCTGAAGTGGTATCAACACATTTTGGTATAAATCCATCTAGCCTGCCATGTAGAATTCTAGTGTCCTCTGAAACAACAATTTTCCTTTCAAGCCTCCATAGGTGAGCAAAATCTTGAGGTTCTGTCTGTGAATACTTGCTCGTCTCTGTCAGTGTGCATTCATCAGGCTTCTCCTCCATAACATGAAACAGAGATGACTTTTCCTCTGGTTTGCCGATAGCCAGATTGTTAGTAAATGTTAATGCTAATTTATGGTGCTTGCGTGTTCTTTTATTCTGTACAGGCTTTTTTTCAGTAAGAGTTTCAGAACTTGAGGTATTCTGTTCCTGAAAAATCTCATCATTTCCAATGCCTGGTGATACACCAGGAAGGACAGTCCTTGTGTTCAGACCATTTCTGCTGTTATTACACGGATTACTTCCAAGCCTTTCTGAATCACTAAGGTTTTTCCTAGGCATTCTCTTTGCTCTATTTGGTCTTTGCTCTAAAGAGTTTTGGACAGGCCAGTCTCCTACAACTAGCAATCTGGATGCATCTTCTTCGGTCTTAATACTAGATATATAGGTAGAGCGTTCATGATTCTCTTCCTGCTTATTTTCAGAAAATGGCAGCTCCTTTAGAATCAGGTCCAAGTTTTCACCTTTATCTGGAACTTTTAATGAATTAAGAGTCAAAATATTTGTAACTTTGTCCTCTTTTTCACTCTTCATAAGTTTTTCTAACCTTCTAGCTCTTTTCACTCTCTGTCCCATGGTTTGGTCTACTGGCCAATCACCCACAAAACTGAACATTTCTGGCCTTACTGCTTGCTCATAATTTGAATCTCCCCCATCTGCATTTTTCACATCAGTCAATTCTGCTTCTGTTTCTACTTCAGCACACTTATTTGCTTCAACCTGAGCTTTCAAGTCACTGTGCTGGTGAACAGTTTCTTTGACATTGAAATTGAAGAGTACACTTTCTTTTGCTGAGTCAATTTTAGCAACTTCTGGTTTGATGACAGAATTCACTGTATCGTTACTTGGTGGTGTATAAATATCCAAATTATTCAAAGGGATTCTACATTCAGAATGACATTCTTCTGACTTATGTCTAATTTCCCTCTTATCTTTTTGAAAATTCTGATTCTCCAGTGTCTCTTTCTCTAACAGATGGTCATTATCCACATTTACTTCTGAACATTTTAAAGTTGAAACAAAAGCTTCTTCAGTTTTCCCATAAGAAAGTATATCTTCCTTCCTGTAGGCCAAATAACAGAAAAATGTTACCATTAAAAAAATCACCTACATATCAACTGTGTGTAGCTCTGCTAAAAGATTTTAGACCAAAAGTGTTTCTTCTAAAACACAGTAAAATGCATATGTGAATATTACTAGACAGACAAAAAAGAGCAGTAGCAAATATTTTAGATGGGCTAAAGAAATTAATCTTTCATTTCAAATGAAAGTGGAAATTTGTTCTCAAGATAAAACAGGAAAAGTGTAGGAAAAGTGATCCAGAGCTTGAAAATGTTATTTTTGGTCTTATTTTTGTTATAGCAGCCAGGCCTATAACAATCGAATGGGCCATGGCAATAATTAATAGGTCTCTCCGGGAGGGCAAGGTACCTCTTGCTCTCAGAAATTAATCTTTCATTTCAAATGAAAGTGGAAATTTGTTCTCAAGATAAAACAGGAAAAGTGTAGGAAAAGTGATCCAGAGCTTGAAAATGTTATTTTTGGTCTTATTTTTGTTATAGCAGCCAGGCCTATAACAATCGAATGGGCCATGGCAATAATTAATAGGTCTCTCCAGGAGGGCAAGGTACCTCTTGCTCTGAAGGAGACACTTAGGCCCATTAGGAAGAAACCAAATTTGGCGGCGGACAATATTGGCAACTATAGGCCTGTTGCCAATGTTTCTTTCCTTAGTAAAGTGGTGGAGAGGGCGGTGGCCGATCAGCTTCAGGTTCATTTGGAAGAAACAAATGCCCTGGATCCATTTCAGTCGGGCTTCAGGCCACGCCATGGTACAGAAACGGCATTGGTTGCCCTGTTGGATGACCTATTTAGGGAGGCCGACAGGGGTAAAACATTTTTGTTGGTCCTCCTCAATATCTCAGCTTCATTTGATACCGTCAATCACGGTATCCTCCTGAGGAGGCTCTCAGAGTTGGGAATTGGTGGTCTGGCGCTTGCCTGGCTCCGATCCTTCTTGGGGGATCGTCCTCAGAGAATACAGCTTGGGGAGAGGGGTTCGGCCCTGTGAAGCCTCAATTGTGGGGTTCCGCAGGGCTCAATTATCTCCCCAGTGCTGTTTAATATCTATATGAGGGCGCTGGGTGAGGTTACCAGGGGGTGTGGGGCATTGTGCCATCAGTATGCTGATGACACTCAGCTCTACATCTCCTTTTTTCCAAACACAGTAGAAGCCGTTCTGTCCCTTCAGTGCTGTCTGGAGGCTCTACTGCAATGGATGCAGGAAAATGGGCTGAGGCTGAACCCGGACAAGACGGAGGTCCTGAGGGTGGGTGGACCCACCATTAGTGGTTTGGGAAACTCCCTCTCTTTTGGGAGGGTGACTCTCACAGCGAAGAGTGAGGTTCAGATTGGGGATCCATCTGGATCCAGTGCTCACCATGGAAACTCAGGTGGCGTCAGTGGTCCGCTCCACCTATTTCCATCTGCGGCGGATTGCCCAGCTGCGTCCCTATCTTGATGGCGGGGCCTTCACCACTCTGGTCCATGCGCTTGTAATCTCCACATTAGACCACTGCAATGCGCTCTACATGGGGCTACCTTTGAGATAGATGCGGACGCTTCAAATGGTGCAGAGTGCGGTGGCCAGACTTCTTAGTGGGATGAGAAAATATCAGCATATTCCCCCCACTCTGGCTGCTTTGCATTGGCTGCCCATTCATTTCCGCATTGATTTCAAAGTGTTAATGATCACGTATAAAGCCCTAAACAGTTTAGGACCTTGATACTTGGCAGAACGCCTCCTCCCACCTAGATCTAATCGTAACACTAAGCCTGAAAAGAAAAAACAAGAAACCAGGCCTTCTCGGCAGTGGCCCCCCGCCTTTAGAATAATCTCCCCTCCAAGATCCGCCTGGCCCCTTCGCTGGGTATTTTCAAGAGCCAACTTAAGACCTGCCTATTTAGGCAGGCCTTCTCTCCAGTCACTATTTGATTTATTCCTTTTTTCCTTTATCCCTTTCTTCCATCTTGAATAATATTCTTATTGTTGTTAAACTGATATTATTTGACTGATTTTTTTCTATTTTATTGTGAGCCGCCCACAGTAGACACTGTCTAAATGGGCAGGATACAAATTTAATAAATAAATAAATACAATTATCTCCTTAAAACCCCCTGTCAATATGGCTAAAACTTTGATTTAATCATAGATTATATACTGAATCACAGAACTCCATACTGTTTTATCACCCATAATTTAGGACTGTGCATACTCTTAGTTGTGGTCACCAGCTATAGAATGTCTTCCAAACAGGAGTGCATCCAGTACCACTACTGCCAATGGTTTGGGCACTCCTGTTTCAGTGCCATATCAAAACATTGTTATTATCAGGGCATTTAATTGCTTGATTTGATGTGCTTTATCTGTTCCTAGTTGTTTTGTTATAATTACACATTTTTTTATGTTTTATTACTTCAATTACATAGTCTTATTATTATGCAATAAAGACTAGTTTGGCATTTTAAACATTTAAAATTAAATGTCATAATACAATGAAATTGTAAATATGATGATTAGTCATTCTCTCTTATTTTCCTCTTTTTAAAACCTAACATTTTATTAAACTGCTATTGTGGTGTGGATGTTATGTGATAAAAGGTCAATTACATTCTTTTTTACACTTAAACAATTGCTTATGTTTTATATTTGGACAAAAGACAATCATTTTACCCCTCTCCCTCTTTCTGATGAAGAACTTCATCACGGGTTATATTCTTCAGTTCATCTGGGATTGAAGAATTCAAAATTGAATTAACAGTCAGGCAGCGTTCATACCGTTCCAACATTTTTTTGATCTTTTCTTTAGAAACACCATGAATATTTCGCCTAAACATTAAAAAGAACAAGATGCTTAAGATTTTAATATTGTAATAAAAGTATGCTTTTTCTCAACACATTTGAGACAGATGAAATGTTTAACCAGTGTTTCTTCCTGTGGCACTGCAATTCATATATAGATACTTGATATTTTGTCTACTGGTGACTATTTACATGCAAACAGAAAAAGTGATAAGTAACCTGAAAATTACAAAGATACCATAATACTGGATTATTCTCTCTTTTATATTTGTTTTAGAAATCACGTAAAGGCATAAGGCAGATAGTGGAGATTTTAATTCTTGTTAAATTTCAATTTCAATTTGACTATTTAGTGACACTTTGTCAAATGAAAAAAGACATTGGAGTTTCAAGTCATGACCTTTTAAACAACCACTGGAAACAATTAATGGGCAAGAAGATCAGTTTTATTCAGATATTTTTAGCTAATGTCAAGTTTAGATCTCTTCAGCAATGGAGGAAAGAAAGAAACTACATGTGGAAAAGAAATGCTCAAAGTACTGCTCTGTCATCAGAAGCAGTTTTGCTCACTACCTCAGAATAGCAAACTGTTATGCATAGTTTGCTCACAGCATTCTGTCTCTTCATCCATAGAGACATAAGCTTATATTACAATGAAAAAGTGGTTCCAGGATTCAAATAACTAAAAGCCTAGAAATACTGAGAAGTAAAAATAGCCACAGAATGATAGTGCATGCTCCTTAGGCTCTCTGTACTTGACAAATAAATAGCATTCTTTAGCTAACTGCAGCTTTACAGGATCTAAGATACAATACAAACATTTACTATTCCAAACAATCCCTTAAATTCCCAATGGGCTTCAGGAAGATCAGTCAATAGTACTGCAGCAATCTTTTAATGCTTTTGAGTTAAGAAAAAGCTGCCCTCACTCCTACTGGGCTCCCTTATAGCTGAGAGTATTTTAGTGTTTCTTTTAAGATACACTATAATGGAATTATTAATAGTTTTTTTACCTTTCCAGTTCTTTTGGTTTAAACTTCCACCAAGTATCCGGCTCACGAAATATGACTTTATACTTGTGTTGCTGTGACTGAATGAAAGTATAAAGAACATTTGATACATCATTCTATTTTTGCAGTGTCAAAATATAATTGAGAAGTGAATCAACCCTTATTTTAGAGTGTACCTCACAAACAATTGTTACTGGTGACAAAGAATACTATCTCCCCTTAACCACATAAGTATCATTTATCATGAACCCATTATGTAGACAATTGTCTATGACTCTGGAGAGTCTACACCTGATGAGACATGTTGCAGGCCAATAAAGCTTTTGCCAAATAAATCCTGGTTAGTCTTTAATATACCACAAGGAACATGGCTTTTGCTGCACCAAGACATCATAACTATCTCCCATCTAGGACTGAAATTCATCCATCTTATATTTTCTTTCCCCTCCAGTTAATTCCTAATTTTCCTCACCCCTTATTGTTATGATTTATTTTGTCTTTCTTTCCATCTTGGAAAAATTTTTTCTAATTGTGTAAACTATGTTATATATATTTTTTGTTTTATATTTTGTGTTCTAAGCTGCCTAGAGTGGTCGCAATGACCAGATAGGCGGGGTCTAAATGGAATAAAATAAATAAATAAATAAATCTTACCCTGCTTTCAGAATAAACTGCAGGTTGCAGCCATAAACACATTTATTTGGGAGTAAACCCTACTGAAGTTGGTAGTTCTTCTAAGAAGATATGCATAGGATTGTGCAGAAGCTTACTGTATTTTTCAGTGTATAAAACGAGACTTTTTCCTAAAATAATTAAAGGAAAAATTGAGTGTTGTTTTATACACAGAAGGAAGCAGTCGCACTCAGGCGCCTCTTGCTGCCGCCGCCACCCAATTGCCTCTTCCAGAGCTCATGGCTTGTCCCCTCTGGTGGCCCAGAAGCAGCAGCAGGAGGAGGCGGAGGCAAAGGAGCATTCATACATGCTCAGGCACCTCTTGCTGCTGCCTCCCCCGCCTGCCCAATCACCACCCCCACTGGGACTGACTGGCTCAGCTCACATCACCGCCTTGTCCCCTCCGGTGGTGGAGGCAGGAGTAGGCAGAGGTGGAGGCAAACAAGCACTCACGCGCGCTCGGGCCCCTCTTCCTGCTGCCGCCACCAGATCACCACCTTCCATAATCTCCTTAGGGCAGGGGACAAGGCGGCGGCGTGAGCTGGGGGTGAGCCCCAGCAGTCGCACTGGAGGTACTAGCGGGCAGTGGAGACAGCAGCAGCAGGAGATGGAGGAGCAGTTGCCCGTTATCTGCTCCTCTGCCTCCATCAAGGGTCAAAACTAGGGGGGTGTTTTATACATTGAGGGGGTCGTATACACGGTAAAATACGGTATTTCAATATCAGACTCCATTTTCATGATATTCATTCCTGAGGCTCTTGGCAAAGCAGATCAAATGTAGGCCTTGAGCTCATGCTTTCCCACCTACCAGCCACCCCGGCATTCTCACTGTAGGGAGGGAGTATGCCAGCAGGAGGTCACCCCTGATTCTCCCACCAGACATCTCTATGGAGCAATGGAGAATAAATACTTGAAACAGCACAGTATTGCCAACAAATCTGCACAGAAAAAGTTAACAAATGTTCCGCCCACCAATCCTAAAATTATGGAATACTAACCAGAGCAACATATGGTTTCATTTCCCAAGCCTGTGTGTTTGTGTTGTCAATTATTATAGGAGTGATCCTTTTTTCAAATGCTTCTTTGGCTGAAAAATACATCAGAAGGTTTTAAAGGTTTTAATTCTATTATAGTGAAATTAACATTTCAATTTGCTCTTATTTAAAATTCAATTACAAAAGTATAATCAATTGTTTAAAATTACTTCTCTACCTTTATTTTATTCTAAGCATACAATACAAAACAATACAGTAGTCTTGACTATCAACTAAAACCTTAACACCTGACCCTACATATAAATTATGTCAAGAGTAAATTGATAATAATTGTGTGCTATCAACTCAACTTCCAGCTTATGGTAACAATTTCCAGGATTTTCTAAGTATAGAGTACTCAGACGTGGTTTACTGTTCTCTAGCTTCTGGGGGTGCCCTGAGACTGCACAGTTTGCCCAAGGCTACACAGGTTATCTCTTCTGAGAGGCACAATAAGGAATCAAATCCCCTGCCTCTGCAGTCAGTTACCCAGATGACTGACATACCTTTAGCCTGGTGTTTTAGGAACAACACAGTAAGAAAGTGGATTATATTAACCCATGGATGGGCCACTAGGCTTTCAGGTATTTTGCGGCCCCTCTGGCACTTCAATCTTTCACCCCACTACAGCTGAAAGACTAGACTGCAGTATATAGCCCTATATCCATATGATGGTCTCTTGAATAATTCTACACTTTCAAGTATTCACATGGACACCGGTACCCAGTTGAAATAAAGTCTGCTGACCTCTTTTCTCACAGCACAATCATTCTCCCTTTTTTTTTCTCTTTCAAAATCCTGACTTGCGCTTGTACATGTTGGCTGCAATTTTTTTAAAATTTTTTAATAAATGTTTTGGCTGGTTCCAAGGGCCCATTCGTACATTCAAGCACATGTGATCAAGGTCACGACTAGACTGTATTAGTGTAATTACACCATGGAGATGTAATAAGAGAGGACAGTTGGTATGACATCACAACCCCAATATTAGTGTGCTACTGATCCTCTGTCCTCGCCTCCGGTGTCTCAAAACAAACCTCAGCTGACTTAGGGTATGCCTTGCAATTTCTCAGTTCTTGTACATAATACATTTTATAAAAATTGGCGGGCCCCTAGTCCCTGCAGGGCCCCTAGACTTTAGTTTAGTCATCCTTATGCAGCCTTGGTAGGAAAGTTGTTGCATTCACTGTGAGGTCCCCAGCCAGGAGGCTTATGTAGGAGTGCCGTCGCTCCCATCGCGGGTCCAGACTACTCAGACATCCCCTCCTCCTTCCCCACCCTGACGTGAAGATAAACAGGTGGACACTCACGAGTTGGGAGAGATACCCGAAGGCAAGGGCTTAGTGGACAAGGAGGTTGATACCAGTGACCTGGTACAGGTACTGAAGGAGTTAACCATGACACCAAAACCCGGGAAAGATTTGGCAGGAACGGGGAAGGAGGAGATAGATGCAGCAGCGCGGGATATAAGGGGGAAGAGGGAAGAGATTCCAGGCGGTTGGGAATTGGTTTGGGTCCAGGACCCATGGACTAGAGAGTGGGAGCAGGTGAAAGTGCCCCACGAGGAGGCGGAGAGGAGAAGGCAGCAGGGTTTGAAACCCCGTCCCTCTTATTGGGGAGAGACGGAAGCCAAAGAATGGAGGCGTAGGTTAAGAGAGGAAAGAGAAGCTGTGGTCAGGGAATTAGAGAGGAAAAAGGCATGGCATCTTGCCGAGTTACAGAAGAGGGGGTCTACCCGGACTGTGGTTGGCTGATGCAGGAGAAGAGTCGTCCGTATGGGGCTGGAGCGGTGACAAAGAGACAGTTCCCTTGATTGGCCCTGATGAAGAGATCGGCGAGAACCTGGTACCAGAGAAAGGCGTAACGGGACCATGGATGATGGAAGACAGTAATCCGTTTGTTGGGAATTTATGGACACCCTTGCGGCCAGAGTGTGTGCCACAAGAGACATTAGAAACCATTCCTCTTGAAGTTCCAGTTCCAGTTGATGTTCCAATAAATACCGAACCAGTTGAATTGTTAAAACCATCTCGCTCTTTATTTAAGGCGACTGACTCCCAAAACATCGAACCCTCACATTCACCTCCTGCTTTTAGGCCTTCTGGAAGCATCCGGTTGGACACTGTGGGCAATTAGGAGGAGATACTAAATAGACCTAGGTCAAATATCCTTCGGAACAAGAAAGAAAGTGGCCTTCCTATGAGTCACATCACTGGACCATAGTATGCGGGACCTGTGGTTTCTAGTGTGAATTCCATAGTTTTAAATAAAATTCTTTCTTAGCCCTAAGTACCAAAGGTATAAACTGAATGAAATAAATACAACCTCTCCAGTGCTGAGGTCACTGGCCAAAACCTTACTGCATTTGTGCAGTGTAAATCTAAGACTATATAACTAGTATGACTATCATTCTGGCTGGCTGCCACACACTGAGACATGTCCAGGTTATGCACCTGGTTACATGGCTGGCTATGCAATAGACAACCAGAAAATTGCAAAAAATGCTTGTGCAATTTCTCTTATGTGTGCAGTTATTTTGCAATAGGATTCTGCCTATCTTTATGTTTGATTCCTTGCATGCTATACAGAAGAGATGCTGGATCAGAAGCAGTAAGCCAACAAATAACCTTAATCTGAACACAAATCTTTCAACACAAAGAAAACTATTCATCTAACCAGACTGACCAAAACATTTACAGGCATTTTTCTAGTGGACAAAAAGAGAATAATGGTGATTTATGCTCTTATGTAATTGAACAGAATACAGTGTGACCCACTGTAAAACTATATTATCAGGTAACTGTCACTAAGAATGATTCAGCTTTATAGTATGGAATATAATATGGAAAAAATTCATGTATATAGTTATAATGGAAATGTATGTACATGGAGAAGCCACCGTCAGAAGCAACTATTTCCCCAAGTTTTGCATTTCTCCTTTCTCCCTTGAATTTAATGACAATTCAAGGTTTATCAAAGGTTTCTATCTGGTTACACACCCTCCTCCAGTAATCCTACAATTTGAGAATCAAGCTTGTTCTTAATGGTTTAGATGCATTTTGTCCTCTGGAAATCCTTATTCTAACTATTACTTCTTAGTCTAGGTGTGATGGGATACTGAGAATCAAGCCACATACAACATACATAAAATGAATGAAGTGGGACCCCTGTATTAACAGTGGATCCATTTCAAAATGTACCATGAATGTGGATATAGTGATGCCTCGCTTGGCGATGATGTGTTCCATTAAAATCGCTGTTAAGCGAAATCGTCGTCAAGCGAAATTAAAAAACCCATTGAAATGCACTGAAAACCGTTCAATGTGTTCCAATGGGAATAAAAACCCATTGAAATGCACTGAAAACCGTTAAATGTGTTCCAATGGGAATATCTCAGCATCCAACGAAGATCCTCCATAGGGCGGCCATTTTCCGGTGCCTGTAATGCAAGGAATCTGTCCTAAAGCACAGCGGGGAGCCATTTTGCACAGTGGCCGGCCATTTTGAAACTCTATCAGCTGTTTTTGATCGTTAAGCGAAAAATCGGTTCCTGAAGCAGGGAACTTCATTGCTTCATATATTAGAATACATACAGTGGTGCCTCGCTAGACGTTTACCTCGCAAAACGGTTTATTCGCAAGACAATGAGTTTTTGCGATCGCTATAGCGCTTTGCAAAACGGTTTTCCCTATGGGCGATTTTCGCTGGACGATGTCTCGGTCTGTGCTTCACAAGACTTTTTTTTCTGGACTTGTTTTTCGCAAGGCGACGATTTTGACAGCTTGGTCCGCACTTCGCAAAATGGGTGTTTTCGGGACTGATTTTCGCAAGACAGAGATTCTGACAGCTGATCTGTGCTTCGCAAAACAGTTTTCCTATGGCAATTTTCGCAAAACGACGACAATTTTTCCACATTGGAACGCATTAAATAGATTTCAATGCATTCCAATGAGGAACCGCATTTTGCAAGACAATGTTTTGGTAAAACAGTGATTTTCGCGGAATGAATTAACATCGTCTTGCGAGGCACCACTGTACTTAGTTTGAGTCATGTGCAAAGATCCTCCTCTCTTTCCCAGTCATTTGCCAGAAGTGCTGTGATGATTCAACAACTACTGGAAGATGATTCTCTTACTTCAATTAATATTGTTGTTTAATTTGTGACTATATGATTGGCAAGACAGTATCAATCCTGACACAAGAAGACTTTTACATTCACAGATTGTAATTTGCGTAATCAACTGCTTTTGTCTATATCTAGTTCTTACCCCGTTTTCGGTTCCATTCATGTGCTTCTGCTAAACAATCAGCATCAAACTGGTACTTTCCATTTTTCTGATAAAAATAATCATCTGTACTAAGAATGATTCCACCAGGATTGTCTTCAAGCAAAGTCCTGCAAAAATAATGAAGTAAATTAAGTAAATCATCTCCTCCTCCCTCACCTCCAAAACAGCAACTTCTCTTAAAACATACACATACAATTTGTAGACCTTCAGGTTAAAGAGAGGAAGGTTGTGAAGATTTTTTTTAACAGTGATAGTATCACTGATAAGTTATTTAAAAGAAAGGCTTGTGGTTTGAATGACACAGAGATTCAAATTAGGCAAGATGCTTAGAAAAGTTGCCACTTCAAGTGGAGCAAGATAACTGCATGTTATAGCATGTGATCTTCCTTAACTGCACATCTTTCATTCAGTGAGTTTTGCTTTATGATTGATCTTTGATGGTGTATACAGTCTTAATTTAAAAGCCTGATCATTGAGGCAGGAATCTTGTCCTGTTGTGGGAGGGCAAATAGCTTAATCAAAGGAAATACACTTTCCACTTAATGTCTAGTTTTAATATCAGTATTTTAGCTTTAAAAATAGTTACAATTGATTGGGAACTTTCAAAGGCTATTGCTGTTCTTTTGATGTAATACAAAATATGCAAACCATTCTCAGGCTGCTACAGTCTAGCACTATAATGGTTGCACCTTCTTGTGTCAAGTGCAAAATTTAGAAAGCTAGGTGTCTTACAACTGTATTTTGCAAATCAGAGGTTAGTCCTGGGAATGTATGCTCCTCCTCAGTCCCCTAAGCACAGCAATCCTTCCCTCTGTCCCATTACTATAGTTTTGCCTGGTATGGGTACTGACACAGAACGGCTCTTTCATAAAGTAGAGGATGACACTTTGGTTTGAGGTGGACTTGCACACTACAGTTAGGTGTTTACAGATTTGGTGTACACATAGTCCATGTAATGCACGTGTATATGTGTGACTGAGAAAAACTTACGAGACAGAGAAAGAGAGAGAAATAAGATCCAATTTTAAAAATATACACAAGTAACTTACCTTGCCAAGTATGATTTGCCTGATCCTGGAACCCCTCTAAGAAGAACAAGCACATGACCTACAAAATGATTCTTTCTTCTCACCATGTGGCAATTAGGAAGCTGGTGTACTTGAGCAAAGTTCATTTTTTGGCTTCCATCTTTATTTTCCCATATTCTTGGCACCGAAGAATTGTTGTCCCATGACTGTGAAGATACTTGAGGGGAACAAACTCTTCCAAGAGACCTATAATCTGAAGCAGGCCTCCACTTCCCAGGACTGACTGCAACTGGGGTTACAAAACTATGGCTCACACTTTGAGGATAAAAGGCAGGATAAAATACAGGTTCTGGTGAATATTCCTGGAGTATGGAAAATTGTGAATTCCATGCCTGTTGTGACTGGTCAACATTAGTAAACGATGATGATTTGAAAATGGATCCTGTGCAGAGGTCAGGGATAGCAGCTTTTTTAGGATTGTTACACACAGCCAGTGCTTCTGAATTTTCAATATACTGTGAACTATGACGGTCAAATGAACTTGTTTCAAATCCAGCAGATCCCTGACACTCTTGAACTGATACACCACTTACTGTTGTAAAATCCAAGAAAACATTTTGTGTTTGTGGTGGTTTGCTATGGCATGCCTCTATACTACGTAGCATAATGGATTCCGAAATTGCACCACTATCAAGCACTACTTCAGGCAAACTAAACTTTTCTGGGCTTTTTGCAAATATATCTACCTCATACAATGGGCTATCCTTTCTCTCAATGTTCACTCCTTTTCTAAAAACTGGTTCAGATGTGTTATTATCTGGATTTAATTCAGTAAAGGTGGTTTCTAATTTTTCACTACTTGTTTCCACTAGCTTTGAAGAAAGCACAGCATTAGAATGCAAACTGGCCTTTGCCCACTTAGATTGCTCCTTAATAGAAATGGAACTACTACAGTTCAGAACTGGACAGAGATTACCTGAGATTTGGTCATTTTCTGAATCCTTCATTTCAGTATTCAGATTATGTTCTCCCAAAGAATTATGCAACAAGGAAGTCAATTCTTCAGATGACAAAGACTTTTCTGATTGCTCACTTGAATTTACAGCTTTCTTTGCAGTAGAACTTTGGCCCTTTGTCTCATTAGTAAACGAGCATGGCAGATTTTCACAAACTAGTGATGCAGATATGGAATCAAAACCTGAGACTTCAGATGTTGATGTTATACCCTTAGCAGTAGTGGACAATTCAAGTAGGCAATCCATTGAGTCTTCGACTATTAAAATAAAGAAAGAACAGAGTTGTTGGAAGCAATTCTAAATGTAGTATATACCAAAATATCAGATATATCACAGAATTTGGCATGGAATCTGATGTTCTTTTGAAAGTTTCCAGGTTCTTCACACCTCCTGCCAGATTCTGGTTATGTACCCTTTTACTGCTCTCCAACTAAAAAAGTTGAAGGCTGATGAAATGAAGCTCTTTAGTTTCACCAAGCGAGAGGGCTAAACAGCAGGGCCATGGGATAACTATGAGGTTCCAATTTGGTTAGTTGGCTTCAGATTGTTTGATAGCACCTCTTAAGCATTATCCTCTTCCTCCTCCTCCTCCTCTTCCTAGGCTTCCTATATGAGAACTTTATTTTGATATCATCCTTTATTAAAATACTAAGCTGGTTAGCAAGCACGTGATTTACAAGAGTTGATTTCAATCGGAGTCATGTGCGCAAAAATTTGTGCAATATTCAAAATGTATACTACAAATAAAATCAAAACAAAAGACGTTAGCAAATAAATTGGCTTTCTCTACTGTTCTAAACTTTTCTGTACTGAACAGCAAAGCCTAGGAAGAGGAGGAGGAAGAAGAGGATAATGCTTAAAAGGTGCTATTGTAACAATCCGAAGCCAACTCATGAGTGTAGAGGACAAATCAGCATCTGCTGAATAAATGGAAAATGAATATTTAATCAACATGGTCACAATAAGAAACAAGGAAATCAGATATTAAACAGCATTTCAATAAACAAAATAAAATGAATTAAGCTTATATGACTGATTGTTGATTGCAAAAGATCAGTGACCAAAATCCTGTTTGTTTTTGTGCATGCAAGAGTTCACTTGCTTTTTATATAAAAGATAGCTTTTTATACCATTTATTGCATACATTTAAGCTCCATTGTTTTTAACAAGCAATCTCTTCTGTGTATTAATTGAAAGCTGGAAACAGAACAATCATGGAATGTTCTGCCTACAAAGCCATGACTCTCCATGGCTATTAATATGATTCTGTCCACTGAATCATGTATTACTCAGATCTCAATCAACACTGAAACATCAAAAATAATATATCTTAGAAAAAACCATGATAGCTCTAAAAATGAATGAATGCCAGATGAAACTTTTAATATCACTAACACAAAACTAACTCTGAACACAATGAAAGAATCTGGAAGGTGCAGTTTAGAAAAAAAACACCTACTGTACTAGCATTTGAGAACCAGTCTCATTTGACAGAGGAGGCAATTAACACATAGAAAGTTCTGGTTTCCCTTTCAGCTACTGTATTTCCCTCCACCCACCCACCCCTTTCGTGATTTTGAGAAACACATTGGCTAAAGTCCTATTATGTAGCTAAGTCCTCTGTAACTTGAAGTTGTGCAAGCAATTGCAAAACTTGCACCAAAGTGAAAGTCAGTGATCAATTCTGCAGCTGCAATTGTGCAAAGAGTTGTACAACCAATGGTACAAGCAGGCATGTAATGCAGCTTGCCTAAGACTTAGGTGTAAAACCTTGTGAACTTCCACAGTGTAACTTCAAGTTACAACAAGTGCAACAACATTTCAATCATTATTCCATACAGTTAATTAGCAACATAATATCGAATACAATACAAGTCAAATGGAAAAATGGAAACAGATACCATGCCAGCAAATTAAAAATCAGAGTTATAATAAATTTTGTCAGAGAAGTACCCTATAATTCTATATGCTTAGCTACATATAAGAATGCAGAGAGCTCCATAAGTGTACCAAGATGTTAAAAATCTGAACAGCAAAGTGTACATTATCTCATGTTAAAATCTTTGAGTATTCCAAGAAAATAACTTTCCAGAACGGCTTGGAATGTAACATTTAACACACACCAAAAAACACAGGAAATAAGTACCAAGAAAACAAAAACAAACTATGTACAAACTGGAATCTACACAAGCTTAGCATAAATGAAAAGAAATTCGAAAACATTTATTCCAATTCCCCCCTAGTATTAACCAAATTAGAAACCTCTTATAATTAACCGTGAAACAAAACTGCAATGTAGAGAACAGGATAGCACCAAGTAAAACTAAAAAGACCTCTATATGATTATAAAAGAAAGTAGCAGCACTCTTTGACAATTACATATGCAAGTTTCAAAAGAATGTCAAATATTTTATCTTCTTCAGTGGCTTTAAAAGAGACAGTGACAGGAATTTTATTGGTGTTTGTGCAAAGCATGTGTAACTTGGTGTGGCTAATTTCAATTAACTGATGACAGAGCACATATTGGTTGCACAAGAAGTTACAGGCACGCATGACCAGACAAGTGACTGAGACCAACTCCAGACCTTATTTATTAGCCACAGCAAGTTGCACAAAACTGAAGCTTAAACCAACAGGATTCTGGCTAATAAAATAAACACCATACACTCTTCTGTCAATAAATGACAAGGAATGTAGCTGTTTGTAGTCTTACCATTGCTGACCATCTTCCAAATAGGTCTGAATGGAGAAAAACATCCTTGACGGCAGTTTGAATGGAAACATTAAAAAATGTGATTTATTGAGAATTGCTCTACTTCACTAAATTTAATCCTGTTATTTTTAAAAATCCACAACTGACAGAAGAGGATCTGATGTTCATTCTACTATTTTTCTGTAAACCCACAGAAGATGAGCAGGAAGTTGAAATTCATCTGGCTTTCTTTTGAAACTTCTATAGATTAACTGTCAAATAGTGTGTTGGCAGACTTTTATCATTGTATATAGACTTTTATTATTCTGATTGGAATTGGCAATATCCAGTTCAGTTAGTTAGCTATCTGACTGTGGAGCCACAGATTGGAAGTTTAATTCCCCACTATGCATCCCAAAAGAGCCAGCCTGTGTGGACCTGCAGTCACAGGATGCCCTAAGAAGGGAATAGTTTTTGAATCATTTTAATAGATAAGTTTAGATGGAAAATACCTCCCCACTTATATGTTTTTGTCTGTTTTGTCTGTTTGTATGTGTTATAAAAATAATAAAAAATTATAAAGAAGAAGAAGGGAATAGTAACCACTTCTGAGTATTGTCTAACCAGAAAACTCTGAAACAGGTAGCCATAAATCAAAATTGACTTGACAGCATCATTATTATTATCCATATCTCTATGTTACAAAAAATGTTCAACAATGATTGTTTTAGGAAGTTTTGTTAGCTGGATACTTAGTGAGGTAGATATCTGTCTGGAAAGCCAAATTTTAGGAGTTCAATTCCCCACTGCCCTCCAAGGACAAGAATTGCCCTATGTAGACTTAGGCAAGCTGCACAATCCTAGTATGCCTCCAGAAGAAAAGAATGGTATACCATTTCTGAGTGCTATAAACTTAAAAAACCTTAGAAGGTTGGAACTGACTTGTCAGTAAGTAGTGATTATTATATAGGAGTTTCTAGATTGGGCTAGCAGATTTGGGAATTACAAAAATTCTGTTTTGTAATTTATTTAAGTTTTTGTAGATTCCAAATTCAGCATAGTTTCAATTTAACATTTAAACCATAAGTACGATTTACCTACCTCATCAAAATTTTCAACACACAAACTTTTGACTAGAGGGGGAAAATCATTTTACATCACTTTAAACCAATATGGCCATTGAGGTGTTTTTAGGGGGGTTGGGGGGGATTATTAAGCAGAACTCATAAATAAGTACCAAATTAGATTTCACTCTATTCAGGACAGGATAAACGTCCCAGAAAGGTGACGCTACCACATTTAACACAGAGGCTAAGAAAAATGGTACTGTAAATTTTGATTTACCTCGGAAATCACATTCAGACAGCACCATGTAAACCACTGTAGGGTCCAAGTCAGAAAACATTTCTGAAAGACTGCTGATGAGCTCTTCTTTATTGACAGCATCTGGTGCTTGTAACATTACATGCTCTACTGATGAAGGCACCAGGCCAGCAGCAGTAGCAGCAATAGTCTCTAAGTCTATGTTCTTTCTTGATGGGCTCACACCTAGATTTTTCTTTTTTCTTGGCATTTTTCTTCTCAAAAGAAATTTCCTTTGTATTTTATTTTGTCCACTTGATGCGTGTTAAGTCAATGATAAGAAAAGTCATTTTATATCCCATATATCCAGATCAAAAATAGTAAACCTAGAGTAAAGAGATGGGACAAGTATTTTAAAAGATGTAATTGAGCTTTACTTTTTAAGCATTTTGATGTGAATAAAAAACAATGTGATATTATATAAAATCTGCTTATAAATTATATGTTTTCTTTGATATTCAAGCAGTAAACAACTATAAAGTACATGAACACAGTAACAACTAATTCAACCCCTCTAATAACAAAAAAATTAAACAACAATAATTTAATGGCATCTCTATGGTAAATGCATATGATCACTTTACCTAGAACAAATGTCCATTAAGAGACACTATATATAAGGTAAACAATGTGGATAATTTTATACGTAACAAGCACCAAACATATTTTGAATGCATCCAGGCTTCTTAATAAAGACATCTTAGTTCAAATGCACAACAGAAAAAACTATTTGCCAAATAAAGTAAGCCAAAAGTAATACTTTTGCAGCAAAACAAACAAAAAATCATTATAAAATTCTACAATTTTTGCCCACAAACCAGGGTTCCCACCAATCCTTAGTCTACTGTGCTATTGTTTAAAACAGCATTTTAATTCCTGCTAAATGTACACTATGGTTATCAAGCAGAAGTACCTGAATTATTCTACTAAATTTTTTTCAAAGTTATTCTAGGACAATGACTACTCACTGAATTGAGTTAGTATGGTAGGGGCAGGGACAAAAGAGAAGAAATAAAAATACATTTTAAATCTTCATAGGATCTTTAGTTGAACCGACACAAACTGACTATATTTCTGCCTATACCATAGCAGAATGCAATTAATTGTACTACATTGATATACAGTGGTGCCTCGACTTACGAACATCCCTACTTACGACCATTTTGAGTTACAACCAGCTCTGGGTGCAAAATTTTGCTTCTACTTGCAACTGGAGCTTCCACTTATGAACAGAAAAAGGCAGGGGGAAAATGCAGGAAATTCAAATTTCTAACTGTAGGTGGCAACAAGGCTGCTTCTTTGTAGCTCTTTCGCCCCAACAGTTAGAGAGTGTGCATCAGAGGAGGCTTGGGACTGACTCCTTCTGCTTCTGAGTGAGCATGTGTGTGTGTTTGCAGGGAGGCTTCAAGCTACCTGATAAGGTAAGGTGCTATTTTCTGTTTTTTAAAAGCTGTCCTGGGTATTTTTGCAGTGTGGTTTTGAGCTGGGGAAGATTATGCTTCTGTGCTGTGGTGGGTCTTGGGGGGTTGTGTTTTTTTGGTTGCCCCCCATTTCCGATGGGTCTTGGGGGGTTTTGTTGCTTTTTGGAGTGTCTTTCCCATTTCCGATGGGTCTTGGAGGGTTGGTTTGTTTTTTGGGTTTTTCCCCCATTTCTAATGGGTCCTGCATGCTTCCCTTGCTTTTTCCTTTGTTTTCTTTGCATTTTCGACCTGCCCCCTTTGTTCTCTGTACATTTTTGATCTGTTCCATTTGTTTTCTGTGCATTTCCAATGGGTCTTGCACACTTGATTGCTTTTCTCCCCCCCTCCCCGGCCAGAAGCGATTAATAGCGTTTCCAATGAGTCTTACAGTGATTTTTTTTAGTGTGATTTTTTTTCTTCGGCCGGAATGGATTACTGTAGTTGCATTTCAATGCATTCCTATGGGAAATGGTTCTTCAACTTAACAACCATTTTGAGTTACATCCATCTACTGGAATGGATTATGGCTGTAAGTCGAGGCACCACTGTATTGAAAGTTGGTTTGGTTTTAAAAATTCACATATGAAATTGCCAAAACTCTTTTGGTGTTCATGAGCAATAAAGTTCTGATTTAGCTATCTATAGAGTTTCCACTATTCGGTCATCCTAAGATACTACTTATTCTCCGTACATGTGAATGGAAGCTTCCTTTCAAATTAATATTCTTTCCTCACTTAAAGATTATTTTCAAAGCTAAAGTTTCTATATTAAATCTTAGCCATCAAATTCTGAAGGCTCAAAACTTCACTAATTGCCATGTTTTGTTTAAACTGCTCTGACTTCCTGCAATTTCTTTTGTAATGCTAGGAGAGTAAGGTGCCAGTCTGCAGTTAATACTATTAACTGGAGAGATCCAGCTGTATTTAAAAACACAGCTGGATCTCTCTAGCTGCCTAAAAAAGCTTGGCCATTTCAAGAAAGTCTATCTTCTCACTGATATTACTGATTCTTTTGCTTCATTCTGCCTTCTGTTCAAATAGTTTTACCTAAGTGTGAGAGATTGCATCTTGGGGGCTTCAAAGTACAGTACTGATAAAGATAACTGACATAAAGCAATTCAATACAGAGTCACAAAGCAAAATAAGCAACTTGCTTTACCATCAGTTTCCTTAACCCCAACAATCAACCACTTCCTTAAGACACAAAAACTTTTATTTATGCTGACAATCTTGCACTTCCTGATTAGCTGAATAGCTTTCAGAGGCAGAACGTCTTCCAACAGGTACATTAGAAGAAGCATTTTGACAGACATCAATTCAAACCAAACCCTGATAAGAATCAGTTACATGTCTTCCATTTTAGGAATGAGCACGAATCTCAGAAACTTCAGGTTACCAGAGCATCCAACTAGGTAATAGTTTTTCGTTCAAATACCTAGGCACTGCTTTGCATCTTATCGGTTACACTGACCTATACGAAACACTGCCAAAATACAAAGCAAAAGGTCTCCACAAGGAACAATGTTCTTTGAAAGTTGTGGGGAAACCACATTAATGACTGGTTGATTATTTGTGACTATTGTTCTTTGAATAGTCATCTGTGAATTCCCACAAATGGATTTGAACATGCACAGGGCCATATTCTGAAATGTTTCCCAGCTAGGCTTTTTGGCGGTAACCCTGCCCATACCAATCATATTCATGTACAGTGGTGCCCCGCATAGCGAGATTAATCCGTTCTGGATTAACCTTCGCTATGTGAAAACATCGCTAAACGGAACACAAAAACCCATTGGAATGCATTAAACATTATTTAATGCGTTCCAATGGGCCCTAAACTCACGCGAGGATCCTCCATGGGGCGGCCATTTTCGCCGCCTCGGTAAGCGAGGAATCCATCCAGAAAACAGCGGCGGCCATTTTGGAACCGCCAGTCAGCTGGCATTTCCCCCCAGCTGGCCGGCGGGTCCTTGCTCCGGAGGAAGAGGAGGAGGTGAAGCAGGAGACGGGGAGCAAGGTGCCCAGCCGCGCCAGGGCCCCTTCCCTTCTCTCTTCCCCTCCGTTGCCGGGAGAGCAAGCCAAGAGCTCTCGGCTTTTGGAAGAGGGGGAGGTGGAGCAAGGCGACCAGCTGTGCCAGGGCCCCTTCCCTTCTCTCTTCCCCTCTGCTGCCGAGAGAGTAAGCCGAGAGCTCTTGGCTTTTGGAAGAGGGGGAGGCGGAGCAAGGC